CCCCCCTCCCCCCACACACACACACATAAAACACACCAAAAAATAAATAAAAAACAATCAATATTTTTTATGATAGAAGACAGCCGTGTTTCTCGAGTCGACATATTGGAAATATCGACCAAACTTGATGATTATCGATATATTGATATATTTGGTGGCGAATTTCAATTTATCAATAATAATGTTGTAAAATCGAAAAATATCGATATTTCTTGTGAAAAATATCGTTATCGTATCGAATTCGATATTGCTGATATCACCCATCACTATCATCCACTGTCGAGGAGAACAGTGAATGTAGTAGACATATGGCCCTCTGGACAGTGTCATTATACTTTTATCAAGATGCACCTGTCCAAGACGACCGTCTGTTGTCGAGGTGAACAGCGAACATGTTAGAAAGGTGGCCCTCGGTGACAGTGCTATTCTAACGTGGAAGAAAACGCAAGGTCTTTTGTTTCTTTTGTCTGTATGCTACTATCCACACTTCGCCCTGCTAGATACACAGAGGTCAGTGCGAAGCAGCAGATCCTAGTCCTGTGGGAACAAAGGGGATTAGAAGGGGGGAAAGGAAAGGAGAGGAAATGAGGAAAGATTGAGGGTTAAGGGGGAAAGGAAGAAAGACAAAAAGGGAAAGGGGGTGGAGAGAAATAAAATTTAGACGAAGGGAAAAATAGGGGGGAGGGGAATCAACGAGGGAGGAAAAACTGGTGGAAAGAAGAATAGGGTATCAAGATAGAGTAAGAAAAGAAAGAAGAAGGAAAGATCGAGGAAAGGATAAATCTATATTGAGCAGATTGGGGCGGAGCAGATTTATAGTCAAACAAATGTGAGATGTTGTGGTGAAATCAGGTGCTCATTAAGATAATGAAACTGAAAAAAACCTACATTTTCCCGCTAATTAGACAATTTCTACCTGTTTGTTTAGTTCAACACCTTACAAATCCTTTTAAGAACACACTTTTGTATGAAATTTTCCCAGAAACGTTGATAAAAGGCATACATGATGTAAATTTTCCTTCTCCATGAACACTCAAGCTTTGGAAGTCACCAAACTTTTATGCCCATTTTCTTCATAATTTCACCTCTGACCCCTATTTCCTTCAATAGAAGATATCTCGACTTCTACTCAAGGAGAGCCCAATTGGTCTCTTTTAAGGACAAGCGGGTTAACCCAGACTTCGGGGGTTTCCAAAATCTTGACCCACACCAAAGGTGGGCATTGTCCTACCCATAGGAGAAGTTTGGTTTCATTGGTATATATATATATATGTGTTTGGTTATAGAGAAAATACCCCTTGTCTTTTAAAGAAACTGAACAAAGGGCAAAAACTTCACCTTCGTTTTTCTCAAAACAGCTTTCTTTTTAAACAACCCCCTTCTGTTTAAAAGCGACCAATTGAGTAGTGAGTGCTATAGAAATCTACCAATTACAGTTATTTTGTAGTATTTTTGTTTTGAACCCCCTAACCCCACCTCCATCTCCCTCCTGTCCATTAATTTCCCCGTGCCCTTTATCGCCTTAGAATGCCCACCATCACTTCCGATCCTTGGGAGGCTGGACGTTTGCTTTCAGAGACTACTACCACATGAATTTTACTGACCGTTTGGATGACCCTCGGACAAAGCTCATGGCGGACATAGTGGACCCGTTCTGTACGTATGTCTATGATCGTTTGACCTGTAGGATGCACTATTTACCAGATAAACTGGCGCTCCGAAATACAACTTGGTGATTCAAAAGGCAACACACCTTGCCCATGTCCTCATAATTGTCGACAGGTGGTGGTACGAGAGGGTAGAAAAAGTAAAAGGAAAGGAAAGGAAAGGAAAAGGAAAAAGAAAAGGAAAAGGTTCTTTTCGTCAGCATCTATATAATTGAGGTAATTTAGAATATGGTATGTTGTATCCCACTCTGCCATGGTTGATCCTGACTTGCAGAGTCAGAGCAACCCGCCTCGAGAAAGTTGTACAATATATCGGGGTGGGGGGGGGGCATAAGCTCTTACAGCCACAAATTAACATTTTTCCGATGCATGTGTGTAGGTAGTATCTACTTTTTTGTATTGTCTGTTTTTGGGTCATATAAGTGCCGCTGTATTGTCCTTCCTTTTTCTTTACTCTAAATGAATTAAACAAACAGTTTAACTCTGAACCTAATATCGGCGTCGTACATGTAATGGTTAGGCGCTCTACCGTCACAAGCAGAAGACGTGAGTTCGATTCCCGTATGGCGAGGTTGTTTGGGTTTGTTTGTTTTTTCAATCGAGTATTGCGTACTCCGTCTGTCTGCTTGGACATTGTATCCTCATTATTTCCTACTTTCTGTCCCCACTGGCAGCTTACAGAGACCTACTGACCATGCCGAAGTACATCATCACCACAGGTGGCGACGAGTTCTTTATCATCGACGACAGTTACTATTACCTCAAAGACATTCCGGGAGAAAATTTGCTGAGGTGAAGACGTTTCGTATGTGTTTATCGGCCTTGTAGACGCTAATAATTGGAACTGTTGTCTCCATATTTTTTGTTGTCAATCCACCCCCAACCCGGATTATTTTTTTTCCTACCGGTCTTTGTCTGTGCACAACATTTTTTACCCCTGAACGACCTTTGTTGTATCTGGGATTTTAGCCCCTCCCTATGATCCGCATTCTCAGTACTGTCTTATCAGGTCTGCAAGCATGGCTTATCATCTTTAGAATGACGAAAGAGTTGTAGAAATGGAGAGGTTTATATAGGTCTATAAAACGCTAACTGAGCGTAACTGATTATAATTGATCACTTTGAATTGGTCTTTGCGAACAGTAAATTGTATGGTTTGGGGATGGTCTTCCTCATGGAAATAATTTGAGTCAATGCAGTCATATTGCGAAAGCTTCCCAATTAGGCAACAACTGACATAGCTGGTATTCTATTATTAATTTTTTCATAAGCCTTGTCATACGCGTCTTCTCCCTCTATAGGACATTGGCCAATGCTGAACACCTCTTGATCTTACACCGCGTATCGTTGTTCATGGGAGTGCGCAGCTTCTACATGAGTGTTTTCCAGGTAGGTCCGAATCCCTCGGATGCAAATTGCTTACATGAAGGTTTTTCGCTTGTTATACTAAAACAAGAATATACAATCTGTTAATTTCCTTCCCTCGTGTTAGTTGTACTGTTGAAGCATAATATTTCTATGATCAAGCTTACAAATGTTTTATTCCATTGTGCTAAAAGATGGATACTAGAAATAGACGAACGCGTGGATACAAACTCACTATTCCTCTGCGAAGCCGCGATATCAGATCGGGGATTCCAGTATCTTGCTCAGGGTCACACACTAATGGTCATTTACTAGAAACAGTTAAGTTGTCAGTTGATACTGCTTAGCATATTCATACAGCATGATTTACATCACATTTGAAAAACTTTAGCCACACGTTGGAGTTTTTAAAAGTACTGTACTGTCGTCAGTGGTGTAGCAGTTAGGCGCTTCGTTGTCGCACGCAGGGGACACGCGTTCGATTTCCGAGTTGGGAGAATTTGTATGGAGAGTCCGGAACTTTCTGCTGGGATATTGCATGTCTCTTAGGCAAGGTTGGAAGCCTGTCTCCTAATTTATCTAAATTGTGACGTTTATTCTTTATCTCATATTATTGCTTTTGATTTCATTTTATTTTCAAGAGAAGTGCTAAAAATATATGAAGCATTTCAGAGCAATATTATTTAGGCGAACGAGCTCACCACTGTAAATACGCCATGGAATGAGAACACCGGAGATTGAAACATAATATTTACTTTAACAGAACTTCAAGAGACCTGTAATGACATGGAAGATGAAATTTGTGAGTATTACAGCATTTGTGTATATTTGTCAGAAGTACCATTTATTTGCAATGTTTAATTTAAGGATTATTTCAAATGTTGCGTCTGAGTTTTCTGTTGTTGTTCTATTGTTTGCTAAGTGAAAGAAAATGTGTTTTAAAAGACCAGCAGAGTAAACAGAACAAAGAAACAAAGAAACAAAGAAACAAACAATAGAACAACTACAGAAAACACAGATACATAGATAGATAGATAGATAGATAGATAGATAGATAGATAGATAGATAGATAGATAGATAGATAGATAGATAGATAGATAGATAGATAGATAGATAGATAGATAGATAGATAGATAGATAGATAGATAGATAGATAGATAGATAGATAGATAGAGGTATGTATATAATATATATATAGGCCTACATATAATATAATATAATATAATATAATATAATATAATATAATATAATATAATATAATATAATATAATATAATATAATATAATATAATATAATATAATATAATATAATATAATATACTAGTAATTTGTACATTATTGACATCATATACATGTCTCTTTCTTGTCTATTATTTTATCTACTTACTTTTTCACTGACTTTTAAAATTAAATTATACATTATTCTGTATAATATTTTTAATATTCCTTGCCATCAGGTACTTGTATTATTGAAGACCGCGCCTTAAATTATAAATAACGTTTTAGTGAGAGCTTTGATGTGTGAGCAAGAAAAAAATTAGGTCCTCCTGTTACTTACTCGTTAACTTTCCTTTTTCTGTGGATGATTTTTTTTAAACTGATTCCCCAGTGAAATGTATACACCTTGGTGCTGGCTCAATTTAAACTACAACTCCACGACAGGGAACTAAAATATCCTGACAAAATGTGCCCGTTTTTTCCCGGGATTCGCCGCAACGATTAATGTTGTTTCCTATCTTGGACAGGGTAACACCAGTGGTGAGCTGACAATGACTTGTGATACAGAACCTATCGCGGTGGTCGCTGAGTACGCCAAGACAATCAGCAAAACCAGGTAGGCCAGGTTGTTTTTGTTTGGATTTCATTTGTGTTTTACGGCTCTTGCACAACAAATAGGCGATATAATATGTGCCGAAGATTGCTGGTGTTTCTTGATGGTAACACACAAAGGAAATGCGGAGAAGATGTTTGACAGTTAAAAAGGAGCAAGCCATTCAGGAATGCCCGTCATCCTCCCTCTTTTGTGATGTTGAAATAGTATGAACTGCATTGTTGTAACCTCTAGTGAAATCATCTTTACCTCACTTTTTGTATAACAGTGTCTCTTCGTGAAATATCTGTTATGTTTTTCTTGTTCCAGATCAGTTTTAGACTAACATTGTTCAGACCAGGTTTGTGAAGTTAACTGAAAAAATCATTTCTTTCTAATCTGGCAATTCTGACCTTCTTGAAAACGTTAGTCTATTTGAATTTGTCTGATTTGAACTCTGCTGGTAATATTCCAGTAAGTTTTACCGCTGGCAGAAAAAATGCTACCGAAAGCCAATATTGTCAATCGTTAAGTACCATCCAGATATAATTTACAACCGCACCTTCGTCAGAACGAAGTTTTCCCATTCATGATTTGGACCAAAGTTATCTAGTAGTGAATACTGGTCTGTTAACTCATGAAAAAAAAAAGAGTTTGTGTATTATTGGTCTACACGGTATTCCTTATAATGATAGGGTATTTGGTCAATTAGTCCAATGCGCTCCGGAAAGAGTTTGTTCCAGTAAGAAAAAGTAATCATAGCTCGTTCACTTTCGTCTGACTGCGGCTAAAACGGGACAAAACCAAATCGCTCTGATTATTCTTTCTGGGTCTTTGCATGTGGGTCTAAAAATAAGGGACCAACAGAATCTAAAAACCCATTAATGAAGGTCACTGCAAACCAAGGTTCCGACACGTTTTCTTTAATGTAAGCCTAAATTTGGTTTTTTTAAAAAGAATGGGGGATTTACAGCATACACCTTAAACATTCAAAAGTTGACATATTTTCCACAACACCACTCTTTAGGTGGGACGCCCACTATAATTTTTTGCATGTTCCAGGCAATGCATTTTCGTGACGTCATCACCCAAATGACAGGCACGAAAAATAATGCGCGCCCGTTTGCCGCTAGCCGAAAACAGGCAGAATCTCGAGTCTGTGGTTTAACGCTACACAGAGCTGACCTAGATCTAGATAGTCTAGGTCCAAATCTAGGCCATGAAGCCTTCTGATTGAAATTATTGCCTCAATTGCTCTTAAGAACGGCTCAAATGTATGGAAAAATATGCCTACGGATCAAAAGTATGCTTTTTCTTGGGTGAATCGAGGAGCGGCTGCAGATTCCACGCAAGGCAAAAGATCCTGCATGTATGAAAATCGTGTTGCACGATAAACATTGCGTGATGCCAGCAAAATACATATTATGTAGACTCTATCTAATTTGTGTTCAACGCTTTACCTGGAGTCGCAAAAAAATAACAAGTGGGCGTTCGCCTAAGAAACATGATTCAAGAGACGGGGTGAATCTTTTTCAAGACTCGCGCGGAGCACGTGGAGACGTCTTGACAGCTGGGGGATGAAATCTACAAGCTTACACTGAAATGTGGAGGTGCAGTGATGTCTCAAAAATGAGCAATTTGTAGGCAAGGCTTCTGTAAGTGTAAGTCATTTATTTTAGTGATCCTGTGTATGCATCCAAAGAACAGGTTTTAAAGGTGGGGGGGG